TGGTGGCACGATTCATACAAATTTATGAAGAACTGCTTTTGGTGGAAAAGTAGGAGAACGAAGATAAGGCGCCAGTTGGAGGTTTAGGCTCCTTCAGAAATAAAAGTACCCGCAGCGCCTCCTGGGTAATATAGCCGTAATCTTGAGGTTAATCGCCCGTATATTTAATGCCAATAGCTGGCTAGTTAATTTAGTCATTAACGAACCAGTGATTAATTAATTAGTTAATAAGTATTATATCAAAAGTCACAAGGTGTTAAAGAGTAATCCAGCTGAAGATTATTTTAGGTAAACGCTTGGCCTTTTTAGTGAATATATGAGAGAGATCCTAAAATAAGCTCTCATATCCTTTCATGAGAAAACTTTTAATCTCACTGTTACGACATTTTTTCTTCCTTTGGTGCTACGGCCCCAATTTGGGCCTTGGCCTACCCCCCATGAAACTCTTCGTTTCACTTCAATTTACTAGATCTTAGACATTCGGTAGGACTCCTTGTGAGGGTAGTCAGCTCGTCGCAAGGCCTCTCTACCTGTACACAAACACAGAAAACGCACACAAACAAACACTAAATATCCATGTCCTGAGTAGGATTCGAACCCACGATTCCGAGTGAAGACAGTGCATGCCTTAGACTGCTCGGCTACCGTGACCGGCCTGTTACGACATTACATGAAAATAATGCATGAACTATTTTTATCATAATCTCCTTGCATATTAAGGCACCTGCTCCACTGTGAAAGGAGATATCAATTTACTTGCCGAAAAAGTGTGAGGTTTACACCGAGCCCCAACGATGTGCTTCTCATTCATCATCAGTTTCTGTGTCGAAATGCCTTCCAGAAATGTTCTGCTCTGAAGACCCAAACAAATAAGACTCTGAAGGGGCTGATTTGGGCTGTAGGATGGGTGCTTCGACATCGCCCACCAACTTTATTGCAAGCCATCACGTGACAGTTCCGTGCATCTTCACTACAGGAGTTCATTGTAGAAAATCAGACTTCTCTCTTTGACATCACATTCTCGCCATTCACGGACACAAACGCTCGATTAATTTCAGTTGTTTTAGTCCATTTTGCATTAAACACCGAATTACTGATCGGGCTTCCACATCGGATCATGTGTTGAGCGGCATCACCATTTTGGTTGATTTGCGAGATGTAAACAATGGCCTCAGTCAGGGGCATATTCATTATTGTTATGGAATTTAAGGTTCTCACAGGGGAGGTTATGAAGAGCTGTATATTCTTGGATATTACGCCGTGTAGTCCGTTAAAATCGACTGACGTTTCGGAGGATCATGTCTCTACTCGCTACACGCCGCTTTCTTACTTGGCTTGTTCTTCGGTCCTGAAGGAAGAGGCGAAATGTTGCGATGAAAGTCTATTGATTTTCAAACGAATACACGATGTTATACCCCAGAATGTAGAACTCTAGACGTTCACTGCTACTGGATAAGAAGCCTGAAAGCTAATACGTGTGCTTCCTTACTTTTCGGAACTCGGCCCTACGTTTGTCAGGCAGGGATAGTCAGATTCGCTACCCAGATTCGCGCCAAGTACTGTCGAATTGGATGTAGGAAAGTCAATCACTGCAACATTATACTGTATGGCCCCGCTTGGATATCGACTGGAGTTCGCTAAACTTACGATGTAAGATTCAATATCGACTGGACGACATTCCTTCTTTAAGAAACCGATGAGAATGCTCGTGTACTCGATACATGGAACAGGCAGAGGGTAGTTGTAGACAAGAGTGTGACATGTACCACAACCTTATAGTTGTTCCCGTGGAAGTAGTTGGCACGAGTTCACGTAATTCATTTTTTGTCTCTTTTCTTCAGTGTCGGTCGGGCCATTTATCTTTCCTCCAATCAAAACGGAAGAGACACTTTGTTACTTTGTTGACGAGGATGTCGTTCCTAACAAGAGCTTTATTCATCTGCCATAGATAAGGATCAAGTAATTTCTCATATCTCAAGGTTTCTTGTAATTCGAATACCTGGTGCTCTCTGCTTCAAAGAGAAATGAACATCAGATTACACTACGGTGATTGGGGACTCATCTTACTCAGCTCTATGAGCAAAGAGGTTTGCTTCGTTTTCCTATAATTCTTCCGCTTCCATCTTCGAAAGATCCATTTCCAAAAGCTGCCCCATATGCAAGTTTATTGAACTGATTCTTACTTCAATATTTCATGTCACTTAATCTTATAACTTCTATCACATTCATATGTAATTCTATACTGATTGGTGTTTGGGTTACTGGAGTTGCTGTGCAGACTTTGAGATTAAATAACGAGGAGTGCCGTTAGAAGATAACCTCCACAAACTAGTAGACGTATTGAAAATCATCTCACATGAGAGTAACTTTTTGTGTATTCTATGTATTTAGTATTCCTGGTGTAACATCATGTGTCAGTGAAGATTTACGTATAATGTTCTAAAATAATAATTTCTCTTCTGGGAGGTTTCGTCCAAATTTTTCTTTTCTGAACAGCGCATTTACTGCTTGTAAGCCATAGTATTGTCTTGCTTGTAATTTATTCATCGCAATAGAATCATTGCATCCTGCTTACTTAAAAGTATTTATATTTTCCGTAATTTTATCATGTACAACTACTCTGAAGATTCTGTACACGTTAACGAATCAGTTTAAGTTTGTGATGGTTCTTTTATTCTTTTCTTATCTTAGATCTCGGGGATCTCGACCTATAATCGTAACCTCCAGTCACGCGTTTCAGTTACTGTGTACATCTATTGTAACATTTATTACATAATTTACAGCAAGGTTATATTTCGAATATGATTTCTTTAAATGTGACTTTCTTCATTTACACTTTCAGTCAAATAAACTTTGATATAATTGTGATTCTCTGTCTTTTCTTTCAAAGATTACTTTGAATCCACATAATTATAGACAGTGACATTAAGCAATATATGACCTATCCATCTGCCTTCTAAAAGAAGTTATTGAAGGAAAGATAAAGGGGCGGATAGAAGTGACCAGAACACGAGGAAGAAGACGTAAGAAGATGCTGGATGACCTTGGGGACAGAAGAGGATATTTTCATTTGAAGGAGAAAGCTCAAGATCGCATCAAGTGGAGAGGAACTGTTTTGGAAGAGACTGTGGACCTGTCGTCTTGACAGATTACAGATGAATGAATGACCTATCCAACAGTGATGTCTGGATATATTTTGATATTTAAAACAAAACATGTCTGTAGCGTAGAATTTGTTTGACACCAATGTTCATTTATTGCAAATGTAATTCTGTCGTTGATGATATAAACCAATTGTTGCAAAGCTAGTGACATTACGGGTTTTAAACTGCATAGTGAGAAATAATCCTTATTTTATTTCGCGGCGTATCTGTCACATCGTAGCGTGTTTCAAGGAGGCCAACATTTTAAATTTTTTATATCATAGTGAGTTTCATTATCATGACCGAGTCGTTTTGAAGATAAATGTAAAGTTTTCTTTTGATTAATTAATCACCATAACATGAATATATGTTGGGGGTGAAGGTATAATTTCACACGTTTTCTAAACTCGACGCTTATTGAAGGAAAGTGTTCGTCCTCATGTTTTGTTATTTTTCTCCTTATATAAAGAGCCACCGGTGATCACTGGATAGCAAGCGTAGCCAGGATGAGAAAACCTCTGCCCCTAACGGAAATCGAACACACACTCATTTGTAGTCACTATACTGTCTAGAACATGCATGTCCAACTTCAAACAGGTTGTGATCGACTTTTTAGTGTCAAAACTGCCAGTGATCTGCAACCCCCTCCTATTGTCGTACTACGCTTTAAGCAAAAATATTGGTAAAAGTAACACGACTCATGATGTTTGCTGTAAAAGCAACTAGTAACCGGGCTGTCTCTGATGTATGTAGATTCATCCAGTTGGAGGGAGATAGCAACACAATTGGAAACATCTTTCAACAACTGTTCAGTTATGTTTCCACACATCATTTATATTCGCCTCACAGTGGTGTTTCTTGATAATTGAAGATCTTGAATAGTAGCTATGATCTCTTTCTTATTTTATAGTACAAGTGAATTTACATTGTTTTCACGTATAATTTCCTTATAGGCCTATGAGATCGACCAATAATCGTCCTTCGTTCGAATGGTTAATCGCGATCGACGCGTTGGACATGCCTGGTCTAGAATATCCAGGTTCATCAATCATTTTTTATAAATTTAGTAAGGTTCAGTTCTTGTTCCATATAAATAATAATTTATATTTAAGAAGTACTGGTAACCACGAAAAATAAATTCGGTGTACATAAGAGCGTAAAATGTGAAAGCCTGACAATAAAGCCCAGTGCGAACATTAGTCTTTTTTGGTTAGGTATAACTCCTGTCTTTTTAACTTGAGTGAGTGAATAGTATCACGCTGCGACCGCTTCAATTCTAGGCCAAGAATCAAACGCCACTTCTACAGTCATTTAGCTTTAACCTAGTATTGTGATCCCACCGGCTCTCGAATTTTTAGTGTGGGCCCTCATTACTTCACATCATCGAAATCTGCTTTGTGCTAGGATTTCAGAGTTGAAGCATACGATCGGACAAACATACGTTTTATTATGTATTTTGTGCAAAGAATTAGTAAATAATGTACGTTAATTCTGTATAGTTATGACCATTTAAAACTTTAGTTCATATCTTGAAGGAAACATCAAAGGAGCACTTTCCCACACAAATCAACCGACATTTCGGAGGAACATATAGCGTCCATCTCCAGGCTCGAATAATAAGCCGAGTTCCGATTGTCACGTGCTTCAGGTTGGTATCTTGTTCGAATTATTCTCCGACCGTGAAGATGGAGGCGATATGTTCCTCCGAAAAGTCGATTGACTTCTAACGAACCACAAGACGTTATATCGCAGAAGGCAGTGCTCTTCATTTGGAAGTATTTGTCAGATATGTTGCAGTTTAGTCTTAGAATTTTAAAAAAAATTCACTCCTGTTACCATGGTTACTGTGCATTTTAGATCGGCGACCAGATCCTGGAGGTGAACGGGCAGTCGTTCCTGGACGTGACCCACGACGAGGCTGTGAACCAGCTCAAGTTCCACAAGCGGATGACTGTTACAGTTCGCGACGTGGGCAAGGTCCCTCACTCCTGCACAGCGTACGATGACCTGCAACCCTGGGAATCGCATAGCCCGGGGTATGTTCAACCGGAACTCTGTGGGTGTATTCATATGCCAGACCTCTGTGGGTACGTTCACAAAGCCACAACTTTCTGGTTGCCACAGTAAAATTCCCAAAACCTGTAACAAGTTTTTGGATACATTCATAAATCGCTTTACCCAGATATTTCTTGACAGACAACGGGAAGTAAGTGAAAACATTCATAAATGTGTATGTTCATAATCTCATCCGTATGGCAACTGCAGTTTTCCTGTTCAGTTCATAAACATTTCTAGTAGTCCCCTGCACAAAGTCCAGCCCCTCTAATGACTTTATGAGGTCTGTTGATAAATATCCTTTTCTATAGATCATCGTTTATTGCCCTCCTTCACAATCTGCAGTCTCCTGTGATTTAGACACGATAAGTGTAAAAATATTCTGATTTCTTTGTACTGTTGCACTTGGAATGAGATATAAAGATCTAAAACATTACATTTTATACCCATCTGCAACAGAAGGACTGAAATATGAACTTTCAGAACTAACATTCTTAGCCCTATTCCGGATAATACTGGAGGAGGCAGATAAGTATCAGGGCAAACCCGTGTTGTGAATTTACTTTTTACTGAGGGAGTTTCCAGTTTTCAAAGTTATTTATGAATATATGTAGCAGTTTATGTAATTTCTTATCACTTTCCAGTGACCATGGTGGCCGACAGTGTTCACTTCTCCGTAATACCAAACCAATAATGATAAACATATCTACCTTCCAGACTGTTAGTTCAGTTGGCTTTCCTATGGCAGCGATAAAAGTCGATATTAAAAAAAATCGGTTGCGTGTGTTATTGGCATGTTTCAAATTGATGTAATCTGAACCAAGCAAAAAAACGCATTTAATAAGGGTTAGGCTTATTGGAAACAGTGTTTTGGACTATGAGGAAAGAAGAAAAATTTATATAGGACTGACGAATCTTTCTGCTGAGCCGAGGCGTACTATTTTATTTACGACATGCGCAACAGTTTGTACAGCTATTACTCTGTCGAATACAGTCCTCCGAGATGGCAAATATAAATTATTACTAGCCCGCGCACCGTCGTCGTTTACTGTGACCTCGTCCAATCCCCAGTTTCTTACATCTTCACAACTGGAGCAGCTCTTAAACAGACTCGATCTCGATTGAAGTCGACGCAAGTGTAGCCCAAGACGTTCAGGGAGATCTTCATTTTCACTATATTTGTATGGCCACCTCTTCTCTATCACGGGATAATGACAGTCTACTTTGAACCAACCGATAACAGAATGCAAACTCGCAGAAGAACTGTCTGTTAGTAGGCTTTCCTAGCAGACCCTAAAATAAAGTGTTCCTTCAAATATCGGCAGTTGCTCAGCTGGTTAAGAAATTCCCACATTCTATTGGACCCAAAGGGTAATTACAATCAAGAAGAATAAAAGAGTTACGCACATAACAAAAGTAAGAAATTTCTACCAAAATCTGGTCGAAAACCCCGAAGAATCCATGTGGAAGAGTTACGCACAGATGAGAGAATAACATTAAAATGGATCTTAAAGAAACAGAATATGAGAGTGTGGACTAGATCCGTATGATTCAGAACGAGGGCCTGGAACCGACATTGAACCTTCAGACATGTAAAAGGGCCGCCTTCTTCCCCAGCTTATATCACCTCAAGGGAGATTCTGCTCCTTTAAGTTACTTACGAATTGCTGAGTTAATTGACACGGACTGTAATTGTAAACGTTGCCAAATTTTAAATATAAAAACGACGAACCGTAATTTAGGCTAAGGTTAATTCGTAAAACAAAGTACCTTCGTCAGCTTCATTCAGTCTTCTTCAGTGGCCTATTCACGACGCTGTTGCAGTAACGAAACTGCATACACCGTCGAAGCTCTGTTCTCTACCACAGCAAGGAATTTAATACATCTCAACTGAGGAACTGTAAGCACATTTGCAATTTATTTAACGAGATGGCAGGAGCGTCACTTTATAGAATGATGGTAATGAAGTAAAGAGGTTGTAGAAGGAAACGGTCATGATCTAATTAAAAATACCATCGCGGCAATTTTCATGGAGAGAATGGGGAAATCAGAGAATAACCTGTGTCAGGATAGTTGGTGTCCTGGCGAGATCAGAACACAGCTTCTCCCAAATAAGAGCAACAAACGTTACCGCTTGAGCCATCCTGCCCGGTGTGAGCAGCTACTTTATGGTACAGTAGTCTCATAATATGTATTTTAGAAAGGATATACATATGTATAGACAACTAATGAGTTGACCCATATATTTTAGTTCTGACATAAATTAATGCAAGATTTAAATATAATTCATGCGTATGTACGTTTGCAATTGAGATTTTAGCAGGTACTTGCTAGTATTCCGTATTTATATTGTAAGGTTGTAAAGACTGGACTTTGGCCTGGTAAAGTTCTGGAATTAACATGTATACTGTGTAGCCGCGGCACGCGGAAGCCTCGGTCACCTGCGCTACAGATGGTCGAAGAGAAGGCGAGGGTCGTATTGAAGAAGAGCGAGTTTACCACTCTGGCCTACTACCAGGAAGAATACGCAGCTAGACAAATGACAATAGAGGCCTTCGTGGCGGTGCTGCTGGAACTGCTCAACACGCCCGAGAAGGTAACCGACGTTTCGTTAGGTAGGATCATTACCCTTTACAGCGTGTGTTGGAAACATCGATAGACAGATTTGTTTCAAAACCGAATGTGATGGATTTAATTTTAGTAATGCACGGTTATACTCGTTTGCATTGGAATCAGACAAATGTTGTAGGAGGTCGCATGCAGTTAAAGACATATTCATATTCTTGCCTTGGCAATATAGATTGTTCATTGGAACTCAAAATCTGATCTTACAAAAATGGTAATTTTACAAATACGATAATTACTTACAACTAAAACAAAATTAAATTATTTATAATTTCGAAGAAGTTACAGCTGAATCCTTGTCTTTGTTTTAGGCAACATTATTATACCAATGTATCAAAGAACACAATTTACTTCACTGTTTTCAATATGTTAAATTCGCCGAATTTTATAAAATTGAGAACTTCTAGAAATTAAAAAGGAGGTAGAGGTGCTTCAGTCTTGTACTCTTGGAAGTCTTCGTTGTTTCTGTTGCTCTTTATTCTCTCTTCCTTCGTTTTTAGTCCCTCCTCCTTTCATTCTTTAATTTTTTCCATTGCCCCTTTATTCCTTCATTTCTTACTATATTCTCCTCATATTTCCTCTCTACCTTTTCCTTTCTCTTCCTTTTCTCTTTTATTCCTGTAATTAATTTTCCTTTCTTGTGTTCTTTCTGCAGTACACCTTGTTGACGGAGCTGCGGGAAGTGGTTCTGCCAGAAGATCGAGCCCGGTTCGACGAGCTGGTGTACCGGCGCGAGGCAGAGGGACAGAGATGTCGGGAGTTCCGGGATATGCTGGATCAGAGAGAGCAGGAGCGACAAGGTCATTCTGTCTCCAGGGTGAGTGGTGAGCCAGTCTGCAAATTAAATTTCATGAAGCCTGGTGGGCTGCCTGCAACGACCATAGAGGAGCTCATTTTTTTAAACTCAGTTTATGATAAATGTGTAAAAAACTAAAATTTAAATTAATTGTCTACCTCATTACGTTTGAAATCAGTGTTTGTATTAAATTCCACACATAGGCCTAGTTAGCTGCAGCCTTTTATTGTTCTTTACTGTATCCTAAATTGCATTAACAAGCCCTGAGCATTTTTTAAATTGAAATTACATATCCCAAAGTTTTTAGACCTAGAGATATCCAAATGTTAGAATCACGCATTGTTTTCTCGTTGGCGTTATTGATGATGGGTAAGGTTACAAACACATTTTTGTTTGTCCTGGAACAAGTTGTCCAGTAAGCAAGTATACAGTCCGGTTATACATTATAAGTAGTGTAATCGAATCAAGGAGGCAAATATCACATGTGGCGAGAGGACACATGAATAAAAGAAGGTGTAATTGGAAGACCCGAATAGAAGGGACCACTTTGAAGGTAAGGGCGTAAATGGGATAATAATTTTAGACTGAATTAGAAATAGATTATGAAGGCATCTGCCCCAGAATGGCTCCCAGCAGTACGCTCTTTTAAAAACTGTAACGAAGTCTCCGGTTTCACAAAACGGGAGGGGGGAATTTTCTGTGTAACCGAGCGAATATTAAGGTGTCAGCGGAGAACTTTCTTATGCGGAGTGAGTTAGGAGCAGCTGAAGAACACTGACAGGTTTTGCACATGACGCCTTAAGCCAGAAATATGCTGAAAATTCTACGGAATTCGTTACTTACTAACTCGTGGAACTGAGCCCTTATTGAGGAGAAGCCAAATTTGCAGCTATTCAAGAATATTTCCCAGCATATTATGTTACTCGAAGGTACATTACTGTGTTCACAAGAGCACTCCCCTGGTCCCTATCTTGAGCTAGATACATCCAATTCATACATCCCATCCTATCTCTCTAAGATCCATTTTAATAATGTCCACCCACCTATACCGTGGCCTTCCCAGTGTTCTCCTTCCTTGTGGCTTTCCCAATAGTATCCTACATGCATTCCTCGTCTCCCCATTCGTCCTACATTTCGTTCCCACCTCATCTTTCTTGACTTGACTGGATCATTCTAATTATACTTGGAGAAGAGTACGAGCTATGAAGCTCCTCATTATGCAGTTTTCTCCAAACTCCTGTCACTTCTTATCTCTTCGGTCCAAATATTCTCCTCAACACCCTGTTCTCAAATACCCTCAGTCCATCTTCCTCCCTTAACGTCAGTGACTAAGTTTCACACCCATACAGAACCACAGGCAAAATTATAGTTTTGTATATTCTATTTTTTATATATATGGACAAATACCGTCTTAAGTGCAACAAAAAAAAAAGAAGAAGAAGAAGAAGAAGAAGAAGAAGTAAAAACTACAATAAAATTGTTGCACTTAAGACGGTATTTGTCCATATATATTGTGTGAGTGTAACAGGATGCTGAAATATAATATTCTATTTTTTATGTTTTTGAACAGCAGACGAGAAGACAAAAGGTTCTGGACTGAACGGTAGCAAGCATTACCCGAGTTCAGTCGCCTCTTAATTTCCTCCTGAATCAGGTTTTGATCTGTTATCGTTGTTCCCAAATATCTGAACTGTGCCACTTTTTCAAAACATCTATTTCCTATCTTTATGTCATGATTTTGCCCTGCATTTTGGTGACGAGACAGCAACACATAGTACTTAATCTTCTCTGTTTATTAGACAATAGTTTACCTAAACGGACTTTACTATACGTTTCGTTTAAAGACATTTTCATCAACCTAACTAGTTTCATGGGTATCCCAAACTATAAGAATATTGTACAATACTTCCCTCCTAACTGAATCATAGGCTTTCTTGAAGTCTATGAATAGCTGATGTGCTGTCTCATCGTACTCCAAATTTTTCTCCAATATCTGACGAATGCAAAAGATCTGATCTGTAATTGATCTGTTACGTCGAAACCCACACTGATGATCCCCATTAATTTCACCTATATATGGACTTAACCTCGAGAGAAGAATATTGGACAGAATTTTGTATGACGTTAATAGCAGTGATATCCCATGATAATTACTACGGTTAGTCTTATCACAATTCTTGTGATCTGGTACAATAATAGACTCCTTCCACTGATCAGGCACATTTTCCTTATGCCAAACAGAAGAAATTAGCTTGTGGAACTTAGACCGTAATATTTCGCCTCCTGCTTGAATAAATTCTGCCGGAATTCGATCAATACCTTGCGATTTATATCATATCAATTTTGCAATAGCACTTTCAAACTCAAAAGGGATACGAACAAGTATGAACTGCTCAGCTGTATGGATTTCTGTCTGCCTAACATCACTGACCCTATGTACATTCAATAACTGAGAGAAGTAGTTCCTCCACCTATTCAATATGTTGTGGGAATCTGCAAGCAGATCACCATTCTCATCCTTCACTAAGTTACTGCTAGGTTGGTAACCCCTCTTAAAGTCATTTATCCCTCTACACAGGTCTCTTATGTTCTTGCTCTTACTTGTTCATTGCAAGTTCATCAATTTTGTCTTTCAGATATTCCTTTTTTTTTTGTTCCTGAAATGCCTGCTGTTTTCACATCTTATATTGTTCACATTAACCCCATTTAACCCGCTTGGATCCTGTAACCGTTGCAATTTGGCCGCATTCTTTGATCTGACAATGTTGAGCATCCTTCATCGTACCATTGCTTGTTTCTTAGGTTAATAATAACCTGGACTCTCTTTGGAAGACATTTTTATATTCTCTCTAATAGTTTCCCAAGCTTTATTAACATCCACCTCAGTGTCCAATTATTCCAAAGCTGTGAACCTATTTGAGATTTCAACACAATACTGCTCTTTACCCTCTACCTCACTTAATTTCATGAGATTGAACCTCTCCATATGAACTCTGTGTGTTATTTGTTTGCTCAAAGCCAGTCTTTCCCTAATATTTACCACCACCAGTTAGTGGTCAGTATCACAATCTGTTACCCTGAATAATCGGACATCAAGTATACTTGAGTGCCGTTTCCTATCTATGAAGATATGGCCTATTAATCGTAAGTAATTTTAAAGTTGAGTGGATAGCGCCTAATAATAATCATTATTCATTCTTACGAAATATCTCTAAAAACATTATAAAATTATAACATAATATCCTTATTGATTTCTATCAGTTATTATACATTTATAACTTGTTGCCTTGTCATTTCTAAATTAACAAAAGTATGTACGACTCATTTTGAATATAAACTGCAATGGGGAGTGAAACAATATTCTTGATAATCTATCTCCCAAAGTTCTGACATATTTACCTTATACTAACGAAAGTACGAGTACTAGGATAGACATTATCACGTGTTGGGATGACTTAGATGCGGTTTTGGATTGGTAATTGGATTTATTAACAACCTACAGATGGTAACTTTAAATAATTATTACACTCTTGCTGAGTTACACGATTTACAATCACCTCACACAAATCTTCTCAGTCTATTTCCACTGGTCTTCACTATCCGCTTCCTGGCAACGGATTTATAACACGAGAACTGTAAAAGTCGTACTAAATTACACACACCCAATCCCACTTCCCTATAGCAAACATGAAGTCTTCAGTTCACAAATCAACTCATCTTCAAACATGAACTTCCCGTGGCCGTCTTTTACCTAGAATTAAGAACTCAGAACTCTGCCACTTACTAGTTCCAATTTGCTCACTCGCATGATGCCACCGCTACAATTTCCCTCTCTCTCTCGCTCTGCCAGCTTAGGAACTCTGCTCACCTATATAGCTGAGGGACGGATATCAACCAACAATAAACACATATCACGTGATCCTACAGATTGTTGCTCTGTGACGTCACAGCACACGCGCAAAGCTTACGGATACGCAGGAAACCCATGTCACTTGACGGCCACCTACTGTTGATGTGTGACGTCACCGCTCCTTCCCCAGCTTGTTGTAGTGTTGCGTGCGCGTATCGTGTTTACAGAGATGTTGCCTGGCAACGCGTTGATCAAATACACCACAATATAGATACAAAGGATCATTAGAAAAACTATACTCTTTAGAATAAAATGATCACAGATACAGAAACGGGGATGATAGAACAAGAATGTATAGACATATCAGAAGCCAATGTAAATTTACGACAGAAATAGATGAAGAGAAGGGCATGATATGTTGAATAAAGAAACAGAACAATATACGAAGGATTTGTAATAACTGGAACCATCTGGACAATTATATAAGGAGAGCTGAAGTACCAGTCAGAAATTTCAAGGCATGAAAATACCCATAAGAAACTAGACTCGGAACGCTGAAAAATCTTTTAACATCAGATGTCCTATATCTCGCGTCTGGAGGACGATATCGGATATCGATATCGAGGTAACACTGCATAAATGTCATAAGTCGCGATTTCTCATAACTCGGGAACTGTCTACATCAGAGTTGGATACTTTCATCAAAGGAACTGTGGACTGCTGGAATACCGTCATAGAACTAAATAAAAAGAAAAACAAACTCCGTGGCCTATAGTCCGCAAGCGAACCATACTGACTGAGCAACCGCCGCTTGTCGGCGAAGTTTAGTGCCAAATTTGCAAATAGAGGGTGCTGCGTGGTCAGCGCAACGAATCCCCACGGAAGTTAATTTCGGTTTCTAGACCGGGGCCACTATTTCCTTGAAATAGCTCCTCAATTATCATCACGAGGCTGAGTGGACAGCCTTCCAGACCCACTACTTCTCCGAAAAGAATCTGGTAACCCCGTTAATCGAACCCGGACCCCTGGATGTGTAGCCAGGAACGCTGACCACTAGACCACAGAGGCAGTCTCATAGAACTAAATTCGAGTAGTGCAGGAAAAACAATATAAACGACAGTACTAAAAGATGAAGCAGAATACTTCAAGGGAACATCACCGTCGTTATATTCTGTCAGCTTAGGACCACTTGAAAATGAACTGAACAATTTAAAACTCTAGATAAGATCACCATGAGAAGAAACAACCTGTGGCACACCCAATCTAAGTGGTTAATCTTAAGTTAATCTGTAAGGTGGAAAGAGAAAATTGAGAAATAATCGAAAATAATCAAAGGCTTCAGTCAAGATATTTGAGTGGCATTTTAGGTGGTTAAATGTGCGAAAGTGGTACTTAGAATTCTGTATTTTTGTTTTTGTCCGATAATCCAGTGGTGTATAATTATTTTGGAACTGAAAAGGGTAAAGGTATTCACGATGAGAGCATGAGGAAGAAACTGAAAAGGCAATTGTCGTTGAAACCGAACTGAATACAAAGAATAAAATAATTGCAGTGGAAATGCTAACAGAACAAGTCCATCGATGTAGTCTTGGAATAATCAAACGAAGACTGGATGACCTAAACAATGCAGATGGGAATACCATTCAGATCGTAATAATACATAGGCTGCAACACCATAGAGCAGGCAGGCTGCATATATGTAGAAACAAAGGGGCAAATAGAGCAAGAATAGTCAACATAGTTACATGTTTAAAGGAAATATCTGTTCTGGGAAAAGCACATTTCTTTAGGACTGCATGTCATAGCACTTCTTTTAATTTCAGATATATTTGTCAGGGAACTGAAACATGAGGAATCTTAAGAGCAGGGTCTCACCCTGGCTCATGGTCAGGCTCCCTGTAATGTAACGTAATATAATATAGGATAAAGGGGCAAATAACGCCACCAATTAATTTAATCACAGCTTTCCAGATATATGTCAGAAATATCCAAATCTTAATTTCTTATTAAGCTACAGACTTAAAATTTAGAGACATACAGTGGTGTCAAGAATCTTTATTCTTATTCCCTGAGGGAACGTGAATTTGAGAAAAGGTAAAAGGGCGTTATTACTAAACAAGGATGATGATATTGCTAGTCACATCTAAAGTTTTTTACTGAAATAAAACATATAAGATTATGTCATCTGGAATAAAATGTTTAAAATTATGATGAAGATGATGATGATAATGATAATAATAATAATAATAATAATAATAAGCAACATTTTTACAATTATAAGTAATAAGAAATACTGAATAGACTGGGACGTGCTCCTCAGACCATATGGTAGAAATGAGCATGTCAAAAATTTTCGGCCTTTTTGTGCCTTTTCGCTTTACAACCTCTTTATTATATCCGTCACAACACAACTAATATCAAGATCAGACCATTTTCGGCCCTGCTGCATGTTTCGGCTATTGATAGCCATTATCAGGCAAACACATGATTTACACACATATACACACAACTGAACCGCAGCACCAACAAAATTGGATACAATATTATTAAAATACATAAAAGAACTTGACGTAGAAAATACAATAAATCAAGTTATATAAAACAGAAGTATGATATAAAATAAGAATAAAATTCTTTTGGTGTTTTTACATCAACGTGTCAGTCCTTGGTTTCTGATTTGTTTTTTGTTTCGTTCCCACGGACAAGTTGGAATATTCATACTTATGCGTATATAAAATTGTGTATGAGGCTCGTAATGTAGATGTAGTAAAGTAAAGTAAAGTATTGTCCCTACTGTAGGGAATGTAAACAATGACTCCGCGTCGTTGTTTTTTTATATATTTTAATAATATTGTAGCCAATTTTGTTGGTGCTGAGGTTCAGTGGTGTGTGTATATGTGTGTAAATCATGTGTTTGCCTGATGATGGCTATCAATAGCCGAAACATGTAGCAGGGCCGAAAATGGTCTGATCTTGATATTAGTTGTGTTGGGACGAATATAATAAAGAGGCTGTATACTGTAACACAATAGGATGCATGAAATGGAAATTATAAATCCTTTTCGCTTTCCCCGCCCACAGTCGCGCAGTGCACCATAATGCAAGGGTATATTGCTACTAATATGATGCAGTTGCAGAGGAAGGGAGCCGGGGTGCTGCCAGGGAGTGACAACAAACACGCGCTGCTTCTATCTAATATCCACGACATCCCAGGACCGGTGAGTGTTCTGAATGTTTTAGCATCTTCTCTGCTATTTTATTGCTTTCTTTCCTTTCTCTGTCTCTCTCTGTAACACAGCTACTAGCACCCCAACCCTCCCCTCTGCAAGCTTTCTGTGAATAGTGTTGTGTTCCACCATCTTGTCTCTTGGTGCTCAAGTACTGGGGCGGTTGACTCACACGATTTTCGAAAGGCGAATCGTTCTCACAGCATTAAATGAATCCTGTGTACTGTCTCAGCATAACACTCTTTCAGAAAGAGTTTTAGTCAGTGTTATTATTTATAGTCTGTACACATATAGACTTAAGACTTATATTAGTCCTGTATTCAGACTATTGTTTTCTTGACAAATTCTGTCAGTTGTAAAAGACGTAGAGATAATGCGAGAGAAAAGAAGTCAGTATGATCGACCGCAGGAGGAAAAGAATTTAGTTTATTTGGAAATGTTTTTAAGATTCCAGGTTTTGGTTTAAATTTTTCTGAACAACATTTACAATTTCCACCAATTTAGTCTGTTGCTCTTATCCCATTGCGGCCTGCCCGTGCTGATTTCCAGACATTCTTGTCTGTGTGATGTGTTCCGTAATATGCGTTTATAATAAACTGCTTGAGAAATTTCACGTACATTTCGTTGTTTTGAGAATTTCCATTCATTATGACTGGCGTCATAAGAAACGGGTGTTTCGGTATTTATCGTCAATCTCGCCTTTTTCATAATTCACAATGTTTTTGGAGTTAAACGCACCTGCCGAACTTCACCGTATGTTAAGTTGATAGTCAGGCCAACAGATTACAGCCTCTTTTAAAGGTAAAATTTCAGAATTTCCAATGGGTCACGAAATTTTGTTTACTAGATTATCTGTTGATATGTTTATTTCTTTCAGTAATTCTGGCCCTTATAATATCGCTAGAGGATAACGGAGAGATACAGTGATCTAAAGAATTTATATAATTTAAGGAGAATGAAATGCATGATGCCTAATCTATTAATTTAAACCGCAGTTAGCCTAAACATACTGAATAATCACAAATTAAACTATCCGAGTTTAACATTGGGCAACACTAGAATGAGAAATGACTATCTTGAATTTGAGATAAAAATGTAGGTTCTCATTCCTCCTTGAAAATAAGATGTTTATTTTTTACAGAATGATATTTTAGGTACATTTCACCTTGGACGCCCATAGGAAGATATATATTTATTATCCTGTTAATCTAAGTCTGGCGTTCTGGATTAAACATTACTTCGCAGAAACAGTGTTCTAATTTTAAAAGGAAAATTAGGCCAGTCATAAAAAGTAATAATTTCAAAATTTTCTCCTCTTAGTCTGTTATCAGTTTGTGATAATTGTGAACTCCACATTTGTTTGGCCTTACTAATTCAGTTTGCTTGTGTTGAGGAGTACCGCGGTAGAAACATTAGGTTTCGTAAGCACAGCATCGAACATACGTATAATCTAATATCTGTAATGAACTTAACTCCATCTATATACGTAGCCCACGTGACTAGTTAGGAATATTTGCTGTTTGTTGCAGTCACAGAGTACAGTCTGCCATGAGAGAATACAGCTTATACCATGGCTGCGTGCACATTCATTTCCCCGTTGAAAATATTTGTTCTGACTTGTTACACGCGTATCCATCAGACTATGTGCTTTGTGATTACACCTACTTATATATGTCATGTGGATATTGATTATATTTCTGCTACATTAGTGGTATTGCCTCATATATCAGACAAAAATACAATTGAGGAATATGCAGAAGAAGCACTATATGAAAGTAAAACTGTTCGCCGTTTTAGTCTTGATCAAAAGCTAAATAAATTAAAGTTCGTCCAAAATATAAACCGTTAATTTTATGACCCACATAACACACGTTTTAAAGTGACCAGCTTGTCACCAGACACAATTTAATCTTTACGCTGTTTATTTTCTGGGAACATCTACATATCCTAAAGCTATGATTGTGTTCCAAACAGTGGGGGAATTATAACTTTTTGTAAAAAGAGATCAAAATGCTCACCAAAAGCTAATATTTGGAAATAGGAGACCGTGGAAGTATTTGTATAGTTCATGCTCACATTTCTGGACACTCACAGACTCATAGGAATTTTTCGCTTATATTTCTATAATCCCAAAACACCGTAGGCGTACTTTAGCGCGTGCTGATTTGTGAGTTTTTATTAAAGGTTGGAAATTTTCGCCTATTGTTGTTCTTCTGTCGTTATACATATTCATTATGTAGATTAGCAGTCTAAGTGGCTAGTTGCTGCCAAGAGAAACAGAGAATTACAAGAGCTAGTAGCAGTAGAATATATGCTTCTCTCAGTAATGTAGTGCTTACCTCTGCTAAGAAAACCAATAGTGTACTTCTAGGTCTTATCGCTGCCCAGCGCCACTCTTTTTCCGTCGAATGTATTATTTTATTATGAATGTACCTGCTTTCCAAGAAATTTGAAGTCCGTAATGAGCATATTTATTAAAATCGTGATTCTAGAATGTTCCACAAAGTCTATAATAGGTGATTTGTTTACAGTGAAAGGTATATAGCAGAAATTATCATGTCGATAACTTAAAATTTCAAGGTGAAATTTCAAGAATTCAGTGCTAGATGTGTCGTAATTTTCATTTGGCCAAAAGGTGTATGATTATAAAATATTCAAATTTCCACCACATTTCTGCCATGCAGATTATGCCGCGGGCGATAACTCGCAATATTTGGATAACTGAACGCATTTAATTTAAGTGTCAGAATGAGCACCAGGGTATGAGTTTTATATGGAATGTAATAAAATTGTCTTCATTTCCACAAGCTGTTAGTGGACCATGACGCATTTTTTTATAAAAGGGAAAATAATCCCGTAATACGATCTTTCGTTAATTTTCTGGCTTAATTGGTATTTGTAAACTTAAATTTACAGTCATCGGTTCAAATGTTTACTAAAATGTAAGTAACCGATAAACCTCACATTGTATAATTGAGAAACTTACACTACCATCTCTTCGTCTTCAGTCGTTAAAGATATAAAAGTAATTGTATAACACTTTACTTTTAATGACTATTGGAAGTGTTTTACATCCAAGAGTAATGAATAAATTTAACGTTGACGTATAAATGCCAGTTCCTTACAAGTTAAAGATATGAAAGAAGTCGCCGATCTAGTCTGGCATCGTAAAAAGTTAATGAAAACGGGATTTTACCAAATTTGAATGGGATTCTTATGTGGTTAAATCGATGATATGAGTTAGTACTGCCACAATAGTAAACGAAAATAATGATGTTTTGCTAGAGAACTGTGTATAATTAAATAAATCGGCGTATAATAATTTATACTTCCCCTAATAATGCATTAATATTATACAAAATAACATTCTAAATATATGTACACTATACAGTGGAATCTCGGCAATGCCGGCAAACGCTAATCATAACTCACAGTAACCGGAATTAACTGACACTACCAATAAAAATAAGCACCATCTCCAGATATTTACAAATTTAATCCGGTTATTTTACCTCCTTTCGGTAAGAACGAATTCTTTTGGTACATTTGTTTTAACGCACCTGCCTCTCTAGGCGGTGAAAAATGTAACCAGTTTATCACTTCACCCGATTCCAGAGTATAATCGAACTTCCAAGAGCTCCGGACAAATTTTGCGTTGTTTAGATATAAAACATACTTGCATGCTTTTAGAATAAATAACGTTAATAAAAATAACATTTTTATTTGAATTGTTAACCAGTTAAGTGGTATATTTTCCGTGTTCCTATCACTCACACAGTGGGACATTAAAATTCCCAGAATATCTAAATTTGTTACTGCAGTGTTTAATTTTATAATTGTTTCACCCTTTTTAAAATTCAGTATCTCAATCATTTGTAGTTATAGAATTATGAAGCCAGATCTCTGCAAGACCAAGTAACAGAGTTCATTTAGTTACTTACTCATGGACCTGAGCCCTTCTGGAGGAGCTGCCAATTCTGCAGCTACTCAAGAATTTCCCACCATTTTATGGAACCCTAAGGTTCATTACCGTGTTCACAAGAGCCCTCTAGTGGAATCTATCCTGAGCCAGATCAATCCAATCCATACAATCCCATCCTATCACTCTAAGATCCATTTTAATATTGGCCATCCACCTACACCCTGGCCTTTCCAGTGGTCTCCTTCCTTCTGGCTTTCCCACCTTTCCTTCGCCTCCCCCATTCGTGCTACATGCCTTGCCCACCTCATCCTCCTTGATCATTCTAATTATACTTGCAGAAGAGTACAAGTTATGAAGCTCCTCATTATGCAGTTTTCTCCAAACTCCTGTCACTTCTTATCTCTTCGGTCCAAATATTCTCCTCAACACCCTGTTCTCAAATACCCTCAGTCCATCTTCCTCCCTTAACGTAAGAGACTAAGATTCACACCCATACAGAACCACAGGCAAAATTATAGTTTTGT